AAGCAACTTACTTTTTCACCCATTGGAATACATGTAAAATTGGCAAAGTTCAAATCATAATTTCTCAAATCCCAGCCCATCGAATCCTCTCATCCATTCAGATCATGTAGTCCTATTCAAAAACTTCCCGTTCGGTTATATGGTGGAAAAAATATCCCACGAACGAAAAAAGATTTTGCTACATTTATAAGCGAGCATTGATTTCTGGGCCTGTAAAAAGCACGTAGGACCTGATTACCCCATTGATTTACTGAGACCGCCAAAAATATAATTCAATTTTTTGGTTCAAAATAATAATCTGTCAGCGGTCCCTGACACTCCTACTAGCTATCACCAAACATTAATTGCCAATACATGTACACATATACGTGCCATACATCTACAAAGTAGCGAACTAGTGTATTAAGTACTACTTTTCCTATACGATGAGCAAAACAAATCCCACGTGAGTTGTATTGACCCTAACAGTTAATATTTTAAGTGGCTCTGAGGCACATGTGCTGAGAAATTATGAACTTGGATATCTCAGTCGGTAGGTTTACAGCTTATATTCTGTTTCTTGTAAACCACCTGGCAGATTTGACCCAGTCTTTATAACCATCCATATATACGTCACCGAATGGAACTAGTTTAAAAGGAAATCTTATCTGTGAATATTGCCTACAGGCGAGAAAGAGGACAAGCTGCCTTTCCCATTCGCCAATTTTTTGTTATCGTTACCACAAAATTTTGCAAATCGCCTTGATGTAACCGTCATGCTATAACACCGTGAGTTATGCCCTGTATGGTCCACCGTAGGTATAGCTTCGCCTGCTACGGGCATTTTATTGAAAATAACCACATCATAGTATGTTGATTACACCAAATATGCCAGGGTGGTCCAAAAAAGGTGAACCCTTACAACCGGCTATATTTCCCTTATTACTTACAGGAATCCTTTCATAGTTTCAGATGTTGTAGAGAAAGGTCTACAATTTTTGTTGGTACGATACATTTTTCTTAGTATCGAAATTTGCAGAAATTATAAGCCCTAACGAAACATCACTGAAAATGGGTAAAATGTGAACTTCAATATCTGCGATTCTTCAACCCTTCAACAATCTTCCTATGGAAATCTTTTAAGCCGGAGTCTGGGAAACCTAATGTTTTCTGACTTTGTAATTCGGTTTTGAATCCCAAACAATATGATGTAAAATTAGCATCCTACCTCTGTTAGTTGCAAAGTTATTGTGATCAAATGATGAAAGTTTCAATGTTTCCAAAGACGAGAACATCTTCCAGTGAAATCGCAACATAACCCTATATGGTCTTGAAATGTAAATATCTTCATTAATCATGGACCAATTCTTATGAAATATGGCTCAAAACACCGAATATAAGATTTCCTTTTGACTTATGTAAGATTTCATATGAAGGGCTTCTCATGATCAGATTTTGGGTCACAAGGAGTAACTTAAGCCCCCCCCCCTCTACCCGTTTGTGTAGGTAACATGTCCCTAAACTGTTGAAAGTAAAAACAGCTTCAAAATGGTCAATAAAAGTGTGATGTTTTCTGCTCAAATAGCTCATTTTCTGCTCATTTGTCTTATGGTAGGGTTTAAACGTATAATCTCTCACTGAAAGCTTTTTTAAGATCATCTAATGTGTATCAACAATTTCCGTCAATCACTTTGATAAAATTTTGCACAAAATCTAATTTGAGGCATGTTTGTTTAAGTCTTGTAATTTCTTCGAAATTCAAGACTGAGAATAAATTATGTGTAATTTTGTGTCAACAAAAGTTTTTGACCTTTTTCTACAATATGTGATAATATGAGCAAATTCATGCATGTATTAAGGAAAATATAGCCTGTTGCAGGGGTTCACTTTTTTGGATCACCCTGTACATACATCATGGAGAGGTATACATACACCCTGTCGATGAAATGAAATGAAATAAGATGAAATGACAACCTGTACTCATGTATTATGAATACATCTAGCATTGAGATGGAGTAAGATCAGGAATTGTACACGTGAGAATTTATCAAGACCTTCACTTGTGAGAATGGCATGTGGGTGATACGAATAATGCACTCGTATTTTCATTTTAGATTTCCCATGTGGGAGAAACGAAGGAATGATACACTTGTATTTGCATTTTAGAATTCCCGTGTAGGTGAGCATAGCACAAGATCTAGAACCATAATAGGCTGCGACGAAAATACTTTTAATATTGATGGAAACGTAATTTGTTTTTTCCCATGCCTCCAAATATTCCCAAATGTTTCCTCAATCAAAATAGGTCGAAAATTGATTGAAAATCTGAGGAATTTTTGAATATCGACATTTTCATGTAAACCAACTTTTGCTGGTATAGAACATGTTTATGTCAGTTGGAAGGGGTTACATAAAGGGTTGATTCAAGACTAATTGACCTACAGTACATGATTAATAAAAATAATCAAGAAGTAGTTCTGCTTATTTTGCGGAACTGTTATGTTTTGAAATATGATATTGTTGGTCTAATAAGGGCAGTTTTGAATTAAGAAGGAGTGTTGTGCGTGATTGGAGGGAGTCTTGTTACTTGGGTAGATTTCAGGTAGATTGCCAATCAATACACTCAGGTCCTTACTTTTAATTTATGGTATTTTGTGAACATTTAAAGACTAAATATCTGCATAATGATGTAGATGCACAGATAAATGAACATCTTGTGAGAGGGACCTTTTAAGACCCCTTAGTTATTAATGATATAGAAATTACAGATTATGTTCATGGTCAGGAAAATGAACCAACAGCTGTATCATAAAATGTGTATTACTTGAAACAGGTATTATATTAAGTTGTTTGAATCTTTAGATTTTTATTTGTTACCTGATATAAATTGTTTCTTTTTACATTATAACATCTGTTTCAAGCAATCTTAATCTTAATCAGGATGGAGAATACAAAAAAGCATGACCTGCAAAAAGCTGTCACAGAAATATCAATAGACCAAGCCCATGAGCTGTGGGGTTGTTCAACAATCCAACCGCATTACAGAAGTGGATGGTCGGTGGTCCAGAGATGGCAAGAATGTTAACTGAGTTTGAGGATGAGATGAAGGATAATGATGACATTCAGTCCTTGCAAACCATGAGCAAAGTGTTAGTTATCAAACCAGTTTCAAGAAAGATGTTGATTGCAACATCAAAGGAACACTCTTAAAAATGAATTACTTAGTATTTCCCAAGTATTTCCGAAGTATAAAAACTACTTAAAGTTAAATACTTAGTTTTACTTCATTTTACTTAGGTTTAACTTATATTGTCATTTTGAGTTTTTTAATTGCTTAATTATGTAAATGAGTATTACAATTACTACAGTAAGTATTTCAATTTCTATCCTTGCATTAGTAAATTCACCATAAATGAATTACTTAAAAATTACTTAAAAATTATTCAGTAGTTAAAGATTATTTATAAGTAATTTTTGACTTAAAATGAGTAGTACAATTTCTCAATATAAGGAAATCCAAGTAATAATTTTTAAGAGTGAACTTTGGACACTTGATACTAAAGATATAATGTCAAGCAGTTAGTATAGCTGCACAACTTAACATTCAAATCTGGCTCGCCACGAAAATTGCCCATGAAATGACTCCTCAGAAAGCCATGTGTTTCCCAATATCCCATGCTATGACTGGATGTGACACCACATCAGGATTTACTGAAAAGTCTAAGACATCAGCCTGGAACCAATTGAGTACCTACCCTGAATTGACTACAGTATTAACAGAAATCTCAATACAACCCAATACCCTGCTTGATGCATGCCTATTTTAGAGCGGTTCATTATTCTGGTCTACAACAAAACAAGCAATGAAACATCAATCAATGCTGCGAGGAAGGAGATGTTCACAAAGAGGACTTCAATAATATCACACATTCCTCCAAGATCAGATGCCCTTTTACAGCATATGAAGAGAGTCATATACCAAGCTGTATTTATTTGAGGGCAATCAATTACAGGGACTCCTCAAATTCCTTCCAGAGCTGAGTGGGGCTGGATACTTGAAGACACCAAATGGATATCAAGGTACAAGACTTTACCCCAAACATCAGATGCTTGCCAGGCTCTCATAAAGTGTAGCTGCAAAAACCAATGCATATCAACACAATGCAAGTGCCTGAAAGGAAATCTTGTTTGTACAGCATTATGTGTGTGTGATGGCAATTGGTCTTCATAAGGACACTGCAACATACCAAAAAGTAACTATGAAACTGATAGACACTAGTATAAATTCTTCCATAAATAAGATTCATGATTTAAAAATGTGCGCAAAGTGAAACTAAAGGAACATGAAACAGATATAGATAGTTGATATATGGAGACTAACTGCACTCAGAAGCCAAAAGAAACCACAAGTCAAACCGTATCTACCATTTTTCTGTATATGATGGGTGTGACTCAAAACAAGCCTTAAACAGTGACAAAGGTGAAAAATAATTGTCATGTGAAGCATTACATATTGATGTAATTTTACAATCATTTACTCCTGCTACGGTGATAATGGTGCAAAATATCCAATACAAGAAAAGTGGGCGTCGCCCATCACCACCCTTTAACATAGCAATTGAAAATGAATGGTATTTCTGTTCTATTTCATATTTTTAGTTCAACATTAACTTCTTAACATGATAAGGTAATATTACATTTGAAGTATGAGCATGATATAGTAGAAAAAATTGTGTTGAAATTTTTTTAGCCCCACCCTCCGTGACCGTGGGGGGATAAGAATTGTAAAATTGGGGTAGTTCCTATGGACCAATTTTTTTGCTTTATTTAAAGAGTAGCAATCAGTGATCATTTAAGGGAAGTTTAACGATTTGTTCCACAAACGGCGATTACTTTGCACTATTTATCCCACTATAATTAGTAGAACTTAATACATTGCATTTAACATGACATGAACAGTTTAAAGTTTGATTTATTTTGTGTTTACTATTACTATTGAAAAAGCGAATAGGGTATAATTAGTTAAGTGTTAGTTTACTGCATTTGACTGTCAATTAGTCGTTTGTGCCTCACTGTTTTTGGGTAGCAAATGTTTAGTGTACATTAAAACAATAGAAAAATAATACATTCCTATTTGTCATAGATAGTTGGCTATTCTTAAAAATAAAACACATTCATTCTAATGTGTTGCTACCTAAGTGTGGTTTAAATCATAATAATGTCTTTAAGCGGTCCCCAAAAAATGTTAGCATTTTCCTCAGTGTTGTAGAAATAGTCAAAATACACTTTGACCAACTCTTGACATGATATAAGACCATCTTTATCCTTATCAATGTAGTCGAACTGGTGTTTCATGTAATTGGGGTCGAGGCCATATGCATCCCAGAAAACCTTGAATTCATGTTGATCTATGACACCATCACCATCCAAATCTAATACTCTGAACCATGTTTCCAAGTAATCATGGATTAATTGTCGGGTATTCGGATCATCTCGGAAATTCAAGTCGGCAATGAGCCACTCCGTTAAGTTGGTCGCTGTGTGGAAATACATTGGAGCATTTTCCGAATAAAACTTGTAGACTTCCTTAGCTTGGGCTCCTTTGATATTCCCTTAAATGCAAAATAAATCGAAATAGATGCGAGTAAGTTTTCTCTTGTCAACCCATGCCAAAGAAAACATTGGTATGCTTTTTAAAAAGAATGATTCCGACATAGACTGTCTAATGTCAATCCTCCCCATGCATAGGCGTTGTCAGTGGGGAGGGAATGCGATGGGTGCACCCCCATAACCAATTTAAATAGAAGCAGTTAACAGAAGAAGAAAGGAGCTTCAAAATGCTCTTTCTTTAAAGTTTCTAATTTAATTTTGAAGAAAGCTACATAATTTTTTGTAAAATTCAAAACTATTCTTATATTCTTTTTTTGGCTTGTTCGCACCCCCTGACTGAAAATCGAAAATAATTGGGCGATCACAACCCCCCCCCCTCTTCATGAAGAGGTCAACGGTTATCAGAACCTTGTCCACATGTAGTCAATGAATCTCATTGTAGTTCATCAACATCATCTGAAATGCCAATTGTCATTATTCTGGTTTTACATATTTATTCGCATTATTTGTGTCCCTGGAGATGTTGAGCGGTGTGTCTAAGGGACAGGGTACCCACTCATCCCACCGAACGAAGTTCGATAAGGATACATGCAAACCGTCCGTCTCCGTACGCCCGTTCGTTGAATTAAATAATATAATTATCACCAAAGTCCACTAATTTAGTTTTTGCACAAAGAGCGACTTTTGTGCAATGCGTGAAAATAATATAAGCACTTGACTCGATAAACTGTGGTTTGAGCACTCATGCCTTTATCCTAGCCTCGGAATTCGGGCTACTACCCTCTTTCATACAGGACATAAACATATGTCTTCGTACAGGGCATTCGTGCTTAAAATCACTATCAATTCACTGAGTCCTTGGCTTTGATCCTTTATGTCGTCAATGAGATCTATATACTTGTAAATCAACAAATATGTGTGCGAACTACTTTTTGATGTAATAGAAAATAGAAATATGTTAAAATTCACCTATACTGATAATCTTCTCAGCCGTGATCCTACAGTCATCTACATCCCATATCCCATTTTTGTTGAAATCATTCACCATCACTTTTGTTACTGACTTTTTCAGCCAGAATATTGGGATATCCTTTAATTGACTCATATCTACTGCATATATTGATGACATGTTGAGGACATGAAGGTTTTAACTCTCCAGTTTAACTCCTTTTCAAATGAAAATGCTTTTCAAAAAACGATACTAGTTATTATGCTACTAAATTAGCTACCTTTGAATACAAAACTAAGCATTTGACACATTCCTTTCAAGTAACGGAGGAAGTAGAGAAGCAGATCGACTTGGTAACTATTCAGCATGCATTCATAAACCAGAAATCATGTCCTGCTTCATATTTCTCGGTATTCATCTTTCTCTTCAAGTTACGAGTTTACTGCAGCTTTTGCCAAAGAAGGGGGGGGGTCACATTTGACAATTTCGGTCCAAATTTCACTTGGTGAATCTAAATGATGAATAACTGCATGTAGTCCCTGGTCTGAATTTTCTTAGAGCTCTAGATAGAGTTTGTTGTCCGGGTGTCCGCCACAAAAACCAACAACTGCATAGTGCTCCTACATATATGCTCCACATATGTTACATTTTTCCGATAACAGGAGCTTTCACTAAGAAAATGAGGATTTAAGCAAGGATGTATTGAGTCAGACTTAAGATTGGGACATGTACTATTGACTTAAACATGGGGATATCATCAGATTTCTAAGCCATCATAGATATTTATTTGGCTAACATTTTTGTCACTCTGGACCTTCTACACATGTCACATTACCCTTTATCATGCATTAGACAGTGTTTTTATTACTAAAAATGTATTGACGCCAAAACATTGCGCTGTGTAGATTTTTACTGCAGACGTTTGCATCCTATGGGAACCAGCTTTTTGACATTTTCCAAATTTTACATTCTCTTGTTGATCATAGTTGTGATTGATATCATACTTGAAATGCAGTTATGTGGTAAAAAATTAAAAAACTATTATACAAAAGGTTGTTTTTAGAGGGCAACCTTGTGTGACCCCATTTTAGATGCAATCAAAACGAAATATATTTTCAAATAAGGGAAGTCAGTACTTTGAAATGGTATGTTCTTTTGTGGTGGAGTACCGGATAACGACACTTCATTAGGGTTAGGGACTAATAATTTTAAAGGGGTTTTGGGCCAGATGGTTTGGCCACAAATAACCATAAATAAATGCTCAAATAATCGCGATTTTTGAAATAAAATGGCTTCACTTAGAATGGTACTAACTAAAGTTGATCGTGGCGTAATTATGACGAAGATCATCAACTTCAGTTAGAGTCATTCTAAGAAAAGTCGTTTTCTTTAAAATTTACCAATATTGCGGGTGTTTGTGTATTCATTTGTGGTTGAATACAAACGTAGTTTTAATAATTTGCATGGCGAAACTTTTGGAATCAAGATTCAACTTAGTTTAGCTGAAATCGGAGGTTTATCGAAAACGAAAGAATCTCAGCAACCATCTTGAATGAAGCTAACTGCCGTTAGAGTCACCAAGATGTGGAACATTGGTTGCTGAATCGATTAAGGAGTTCCAAAATGTCCTGTTTTTAAAGCCCTCATGATTACCTTGAATTACGATTTATTACAATAAAATACGTTTGATATTTTTCCCAAAACTGTGAGTATGGATCGAATATAAATCTTAATATCAATCACAGATTGAATTTTTTAATAAGGATAAGTTGTTCGATTGTGCTTCCCATAAAATATGTGTAAAATAAAATTAAATAAAAAGACACAGCATTGAGCAAGGCTAGAACCATGTTAGTGCAAACGATATTGAAGTACATGTGTGATACATATTATATAACATACATGCGTGATCAGAATCTTAGTATGCTTACAAGTTTTCTTTATAGTCATGCGTCACAGTAAAAAATATGAATATGTCTTATTACATTCTTTACTTCGAATTATTCTTGACGCAGACATCTTTATTAAAGAATTAATGAAAATACTAGTATGTAACTATGCGTAAAACCCATTGTCTTTCCGAGATGTAATCTACCAATCTTGTAGTTTTTAAAAATCGTCATCTTAAATAGAGAGTAAACGTCTTGACATTTTTTAGAAAACTTGAAAATCCCTAAAAATTGAAGTTGAATAACTCAAGTAATTCAAATATACCATCAAATAGAAGGAAATAATTGTCTTTGATAGATTTCAAAGCTATTGAGTAAACACTCTATTGGATACGCATAATAATGACTAGGGCTATAAGCTCTAAAATGGAGATGAAAAATTTCAGTAATGTACCCAATTGGTATCTAGTGTGTAAATGTAACACTTCATAATAATTATATTTCATGAATAAAAAAGCACCAATTTGCGAACATAATTGTATTCCCGCATTGTATAAATCGTGAACAAAATTAACATTTCACCCAGTATTAAGTCGTCGATAAGGGCAAGGCACAAAGGCACACAGAAAACGTTTGTACGTAGTCCTGCGGTATTTATTCGTCAATGTAATATCAAAATACATTTATTATGTTTCTATTGCGCTATTGATAACCACTTGTTTAGCATAACAATAGTGGTATCTGCCATTCTTTAAGTTGGGTTGCTACATGAATGTCTCATAGGTATTGGAGATGAGTCTCTCGTCATTCCAGTCATGTCCTAAGCCATTGATTGTATTATAAGATTTGATTGCTTCGTTTCCCATTAAAACAATATGTCAGAGAGGCTCTCAAGTAATCGAAAACAGAAAGAAAACTGAGCATCCCCATATTATCCAAATCAATGGTTGTCTTGCTTGAGAGGATGAAACAGTTGTGTTGACAAATGGCATTCCAGTTTTGACATGTGTAGATTCTATTGTTGGCATCATAAGATGCGATTTAGGATTCATGATTAAACATAGTTCCCTTATTTCTTTACTACTTGTGTATTCAGAGGGGGCAGATGTCATGTTGTTACTTCCAATTTCTAAATATTTTAAATTTGATAATTCGCATATATCAGTTGGTATTTTATGCAGGTTATTGTTACTCAGATAAAGATATTCAAGAATATCAAGGCCTGAAAATGCACCAGATTCAACATGTGTTATTTCATTGAAATCTGTAAATAAATAATGTAAAACAGGCACACCGCTGAACATGCTAGCATAAAGTTTTGTGAGTTTATTATGAGATAAATATAGGAAATCACACTGTTTCAAATTGAAAAAAGACCCCGGTTCTATCTTTGATATTTCATTACCTGCAAGGTGGATGCTCATTAGAGAGGGTAAATTTTTGAACATGCCGTTTGTCACGTTTGTCAGTTTATTAGAAAATAACAATATTGTGTCTATTGATTGCAAATCAGAAAATGTATCCGATTCAATGGCCGAAATTTCGTTGTTGGCAAGATCAAGATGTTTTAAGGATTTAAGGTTTTTGAATGTTCTCTTTGTCAATTTTCTGAGTTTGTTTCCTTGCAATACGAGCCTTTCTAATGCTTGCAAACCGAGAAATGACTCGGTTTTAATGTGTTTAATGTCATTGTCGTAAAGGTAGAGATTTCTTAAGGATCTAAGGCTCTTAAATCTTCCATTTTCTAAAATTGAAACTTTGTTTCGTTGAAGAAAAATGCTATGCAATGATACCAAACCTGAAAATGCGCCACTTTCTATCTCTGATATTTCGTTTTCCTGCAGATGAATAGTCAAAAGAGATACAAGGTCAATGAAAATTCCTGTTTTTAAGATTTTAAGATTGTTTCCTTGCAAGTACAGCATTCGCAATGATTTCAGACCTGAAAATGCCTTAGATGAAATCGTTGATATCTTATGATTGTTGAGGTCCAATGACGTCAAATTTGTGACGTCCTTGAACAACATGCCTTCAGTCAGTATAGTGATGTTGTTCCTGCCCATGTCTATATCTTTGCCTTGTGCCACCTTTGGCAATTGAATGACGGCTTTGAAGAGGACACCCACCACCAGCGTTTTCAACAGCAACATACTCTGGAGCAATACAAATGTGATTTAGATTTCAAAGCTGTGCGAAGATGTTGAAATAGAGTAAGTCTTATGCTTGTGCAATAAGACCTTTAAGTTTTCTTTGATACCATAATTACATTTCTTCATGGTTTAAGAAAAATATAACGTCTCTTCTAAAAATGGACATCCATGTCAACATTGACAATACACCCATTTAAAGAGGTACGAATATAAATGCTATCTTATGGGAAAATTAATGTGTAAAGGCAGAGAGCCAAAGTTGATCATTGTATACCACCTCTTTAGCCCTTCTCTCTCAAAAAGGCTGATTATTAACAGAGTGGAAGAAAAACGCCCATATTTTTTATTTGGCGTTAACACATATGGTTATATGTATGCGTTTTAATACACTTATAACGTTTGCAATTATTCTGAATAAAACAGAAACAAAGGGGTCTAGACTTATGAACAATTAAATGAAAATATTTACGATTTTGACCCCTTGTGATGATAGACCTATTTCGACTCGATAGCTGGATTTGTTTCGGCAAATGGTAAAAAAACAAGACGTGCGCACCTCCTTAAATATCGATTCTGCGCAAGTGTACTGTGCTACGGATTCTTCACATTCCGGAGTATATAATATATAACCTTCCTTTGAAGATTATAAGCTATAAGTGACCTAAGATGTACACATTGTCCATGTATATGGCAGAAGGATTTTGTGCTTAGTTTAACCTAACTTAGTTTCCTATTGAAATGAAATAGCTTTGGGTGTTAACTTGTCAGAAGTATGATGAATAGGTTCATAAACGACAATTAAAATGAGACTACGCCAATCTAATTTTTTAATAAAGATGGCGATTTTTGTAATGTATTTCCTATGTACTCCACCTCCTAATTTAGAAGTTGACATACATTATTTGAACAAAATTCAATGTTAATAATACATTTAATTGATATATTCTAAATATTCGAAATAATATTTGGAAGGTCAAACAAGAGAAAAATGTATCCAAATCTAGAAGAAAATCAAAGCAATTTTATCAGAACATCAAATAAGGAAGAATCTCAAAGAAAGTTCGGCATTCTCAATTTTTTTATACGCATGCGCAGGAATCGAAGTAATCTGACTGACCCAGTGAAGCTATGAAAGGATCTGCACGGGCATAGGTCAAAAGTTAATCATTAATAAACATCTTATTGGGTTGTTTTGGTTTATATCATAACCCAATAAGGTGTGTATTAATGATTCACTTTCCTGTTATCTCAAAATCTGCTTGGAACTTTACCATTGAATAATTATAGTAAATTCTTCAAAGAGAAAATTCTAGGGATTAAGAAATGGGTACCATTTACACAATTTGAGAAATTATTGGCATTCATGAAACCTATTAAAAACAGCGTTTATATTATTCAAAAGTGTTCGTAATCAATGATTCCAAGCCATCTGAATTTTGAAAAATAAAAAGACCTGGGTGTTAATCCATAGAAAAATCCTTGAAAATGAGAAATAATTTTGGGGGATTATATGGTGTAATCGTATAGTCAATAAAATGTCTCAAAATGTATTGATATTTTAGATGAAAAACACAAGCGATCGAATTGCATGGAAAACTCACCCGATTCATTCTACAAACAACTCGCTGTCCTTTAACATCGAAGGTACCACCTATCTTGAAATGTAAGATTTTTCAGTGTTCGACACTGTATATTTGTTATAGTATGATGGACCAATGAATTTTAGGGAATCCCAGCCGACCTTGTTTATATAAAAATAAAAATACATACCTTCATTGTTTGGATGCCTTTGTAAGTTACAGTTTTGTTGAGCGTCATTAGTTTTTGCAATTCCAATTTTTTATCAGTATACTCGATTAAATTCAAAATTACAATCTAAAAAACGTTTCAGTAGTTTAATTCACAATGGCTAGTTTTATTTTGTCCTCTCATTTTATATCTATATTTGGATGGTTCGATGATCACGTGACTTAGTATTAAGACCCGTCCTCAGCTGTTATTCAATTTCAATTTCAATTATTAATCATGAAGATGAGATTGGGTATCTTTTCTCGGTAAATGTGAGTAATTAATTAAAACTCTCGCCTATCATACGATATGGAATGAAAAGAAAGTGTCTCCATATATCTGTTTTACTATTAATTTAAAAGATAATTAATTGAAAATTTTCATCAGTTTTGTTTTTGTCACTTTTCATTCCATTTTCTTGATTTAAGTGTCGTATTTTGCGCAAGGAAAACATCGAATGGATAATTTAGGCCATCTCAATACATGAATTAAAAAAGCATAGCTTGAGCCACAGATATAAGACACTTTTTATCGTAAAAACCCAGGTGATTTTGTAATCAATGAAGTAATAAAAATCACAGTTTGGGGGGTCCAGATGAAAGCAGTGTGCATATGCAAAAAAGTATTCATGAAGCCTTTTTTCTCAAATTCGCGAAGAGAGCGAGTTTCGCGAATACTTTGCGATAATACAGTCCATTGTGGCTCGATTTTCATCGAAAGAAGCATATTGCAAAAACAATTCAATTTGCAAACTCATTACCAATCAAATAGAGTAAAAATCATTTTTTGAGAAATAAGATAAGAATCAATATCTTATGAATCTTAATTTTATTGGCATCAACTTCCAACTATCATAATTTTGCCCTTTTCCCCACAATCGCCTTGGTTATTATGCCAAAATGCTAAAAAGAAAGACAAATGTCTGTATAAATAGTCAATATTTTCACATATTATACATCCATTTTGGCCGACTAGAATCAATAGATTGTGTAAATGTCATTTTAGGTGTTATTACAGTATACAATTGTTGACCTCTCCAGAGGTCAACCGGCAAAATTGTATACCGAGACTGTAAACCGAGACACTACTGTTGACAGAGACCGAAGGTCGAGGTCAACAGTAGTTTCAAGGTTTACAGTCGAGGTATATGGTTTTGACGGTTGACCGAATGGAGAGGTCTACAATTGTTTTGTTAGTCAGAAGATACTAATAATACACATATAGACGACAGTCATCAATCATGGCTTCATTTCACAATCTTTTCTCCGAACCACGCCAGCAATAATTTTTTAAGACAGTGGTAGCTAAACTCTTTGTTTTTGGCACATAACTGCATACTCACTTGTAAATTAATGTTAATTTTTCGTTTCTTTTGTATTTTTGCTATACTTGTCGTCTAGCAAAGTCAAAATATCACTTTCATCAACGTTTACGAAATGTCCGTCTACCATGTTTTTTCTGTAAACATTATGACGTCATATTTCCCATAATAAACAAGTGTAGTACAGTTACATAAGCGGTCAATAATATGATATCCCATGATGCACAGGTGAGGTACAGGCAAAAATGTTGACCGCTAATTGACCAATCAGATGCGAGTATTTACACTGAGGTACTAACAATAATATTATCTGCACTGTTAAATACTGTGTATATTGTATCCATTGTTCCATACATTCTACCGGCATGTTATAGTTTGAATAATATAAACAAGAAAACAAAAGTGTTTGGAGTTGTAGAATTGTATTACATAATAAAAATGTACCATTACATAATATAACATAACATTACATGACATTACACAACATTACATAACCCTACATAATTAGTTAACCTGATGACATCACCTTCCACTATGCACCTTCTGACTATGCACCTAATGCGCATAACATGAACTAAACTAAAACCCTATAACCCTTTAACTACCGAATTTTTTTTTGAGAATTTTGACACGCCTAGAACAGTCTAAAGAAGGCGTTATACAATGTTAATAACAGTCGCTTTTCCAGCCCCTCCCCAAAAAAACAAAACAACGGACCATTTCACTGGGAATGTTGGACTCAAGTACCCAGCTGGCACCCCCCCCCCCCCACTCCAGAAGGAATGGCACGCATAACAAAGGCTATAAATATTTGCCTGACGAAAAACCTTTTTGAGGTGAGAAGTAAACTCAACATGAGTTACGGGTAGTGGGCTCCCCGAAGATGGGACTGTGAAGGCCGGGCCATTCCCTGGGGCTGAAGGGGTGCAACTTAAAGGCAGCGATAACTGCTGCAACAGAGCAGAGAGGGGCGGCTATGTTTCAACATTTGAAACAAAGTCAGACATCTGTCCTAACCCTACTATCACACCAAACAAATTCTCACTACGTTCTCGAAAACGGACTTCAACTGTGAATGAACGGACTGGACGTACTTAGAACCGTTCGGGTTCTATTTACAAACTTCATCGAACGTACTCGAACGGGTAGGTCCTCTAGAACTTAGAACATGCTCAAAATGTTCTCTTGGTCGTCACGTTCTACACTGAGAACGAGTGACAACCTACTAACGACGAGCTGGACGTACTACGACGGAACCGTCGTACTTCAAACTTACTAGGGACGTTTTTACAACGAGTTGAACTGTCTGTGGACGTATTGAGAACGAGGTAGAACTAATTGCAAACGGGTTAAAACTGATTAAGAACGTATTTATCAACGAGTTAGCAAAAATATAGCTATCACACCAAGCAAGTTGCCACTGCGTTCTTCAAAACTGGTTTTAAACTGTGTGCGAACAGAATGAACGTAGCTACAACGTTCTACGGTCTGTTTACGAACTTCATGGACTTTCCCGGACGGGGAATGTGATTTAAAATTTTGAATCGAATCAAAATTCGATGGCGACCATACCGTTCTGTAATCAGGTCATGATGACCTTCTAGACTAAGGGAGGCGTTATACGACGTTGTACACCGACATGGTGCGACCTGAACGAACTGCGAATGAGATGGACGTATTGAAGACTGTTTATGAACGAAGTAGCTAATTATTTTAGACATATTTCCCGACCACAGCCAGATTGAGCCCGTTTTATGACGTTTTCGTGGGAGTGGCAAGAACGGGTAAGAATTAGTTTGGTGTGATAGGGGGGTTATGTTGAATGGTCTTAGAGTGAAGAATACATATTGCTAACCCTACTATCACTGCAAACTAGTTCTAACTACGTTCTCGGAA